TTCTGATATAAAATTGTTTATCCCCGCCGCTAACTCATGTCATTTTCCTTTTTTTCGAATATTACTGCAACTTTACTTTGTATAATAATTTAAAAAAGAAAAATGATGTGAAATCTTTGAGATTAAACGAAGATTTGAAATTGTGTATTAGAAATGAAACAGTTACATTCTTTTTTAAAAACAATTACAGATTTAATTATGATGAGTTAATAATTTATACTCGTTCAATATTGACGATTGTGCGGAATTCATTGTCAGCATCGGATATTGTTGATTTGAAATGATTATGTGCATTCAATAATTCTTGTACTTCTTTCATCTCATGAACGATTACTATATCAGCCAAATCTTCACGAGCTCCATCAAGCCTAATTGCAAAATCACTTTTAAAATTTTAAGGAGAAATATTTTGCAATTCATTTTATTCAGTATCAATTTGTTTACCAGTTGTTAAATGGTGCCACACGCTTAGCAAAGTCGAGATAGAGTCTATCTAGGTGTTCGGCTACTCGTTCCGCTTCTTCGAGCTGTCTGCGCCGTTGTTGAGAAAGATTTCCGAGACGATCCCATTGATCGCAAATATTCTGCAACAGACACTATTTTTTTGCGGAATCAATTTCCAAGAATTTCATTACATCATTCAATTAATGAACAATTCAAGTTCATACTGAGTTTTGCATGATACCTGACATCTGGCATTAATTGGACCAATATCGGGATATCTCAAATTGTTTAATTCACGAGCAATTGCCGCAATTTGTTCCACTCTATCTTGATGAGCTCCCAGATCACTTTCAAATGCTTCATGCCGTTTCCGTAAGGCCTTAATATTGTGAAATTTCGACTAAAAACAAGTATAAGAAATTGAAATCGCTAGTAAATTAGATAAAAAAGCGGAAATTCCTGAGAAGAAAAAGGAAAAAAGTGAAAATTTAAAAATTCAATAATTTACTTTGATCTTGTACAATCCGCAAGATTTCCAATCCGATGAACGTAACGCATCTTCTTTACCATGTGCCCATTCTTCATATAAAGCACATTTACGACGAAACTTTTCCGCAAGATGTTCCAATCTTTCCAATCTGTAATTTTTAGATAAGAAAAACTGAAAAATAGAAATTTATTATATAATTAGATTAAAAAGTAATTCAAGTACTAGTAGTGGTGGTAGTAATTTAATTGTGAACTCAGAACTAATACTTTGATTGATTTGGTAGAGATGAATGTTTCAGGACACATCACCTCATCATTTCGCTTAGAAGCCATTCTTCGAAACCTTTCTCAGAATCTTCCAAACCACGCCAAGCAGCATTGATATCCTGAAATAAACTTTGCAAATTTTAAATTAACAATTTTAGAAATGATATATTAACATGAAAAAGTCAAGCCTATAACATACCTTAATAAGATGCCCTTCTCGTGGTAAAAATACTGGTCGATTGCTTAATCGAAGTTTTGTTTGCAATGTATTAAAAAGTGTTTCTAAATTTCCTTTTTCCTCCACTCGTGGTGGTTTTTCATGTCGACGATAATTTCGAAAATCATTCAATTTTTTACGTATCGTTTCTAATGATTCGTTGCTTGATCGATTTGATAGCCATGGCATCCAACGACGTATCCAATCCAAAAGCTAAAAAAATAACTGCATTAATAAATTTCTAAATATTAAAATTTAATTACAATTACAGATTTTATTGATATAACATTTTTCATAATGTTTATATTGAAATGACAATTCCAATCATCTTTTAGCCATACATATGTTTCATTTGATAACAATTATTTCCAAATTAAACAAATCACTACTTTTTATCATTACTACTTACATCACTTGCCATTCGTTCATAATCTTCCATCATTTTCTCATTTTCCTGATTTACTTTAAGCACACGACTTATACGATGAGCTGCTGTTTCAGTCTGTAAAAATTTATGATTTTTTTTTCGAGAAAACTTAAATTTTTCATCAAAAAAAGAAAGAAAAAGAAAAACTTCACAAACGTGCATTTTTCTAAATAAGCTTACATTACTGTTAATTAATTATGATGCTTAAAGAACAAAAACTACATGCATTTTTTTTAACGAATAAATGATAATTAATGAAAGCGCACACCTTACGCATGCCAAGGAAACAATGATAATAGCTGGACACATAAGTCATCACTGCTTTTTCATCAGGTACATTGCTTACCATATCTGCAACCTGTCTGTTTTGCTTTTTAGTTTAATCGAGTTTTTTTTTTGAAAAACAAATATTATTGAAGGGTTAATTTGAAATGATATTGTATAACAAATGCAAAAAACAATGCGCTTCTTTGCTAATTCATTTCTTTCATTTTTCGCTTTTAGCCACCTTCCCATTAACATCACCAATTCACGCACATTCACGGTTAATCGTTTTTAAAAAATTAGCTCAAATTTTCAGTCTTCTGTATTGGAACGAATTTCATTACAAACTGTTATGACTTTTCCCTAAAATATTTTCTCGTAAAACAAATCCATTTTTTTTGTTAAGCATTTAAAGAATGATAACTTTTTTGCTAGTTAATACTTGTTTCTATTTTTTTTTAATGATTGTCACATCTTCTAATGTGACAAGTTTAAGTTTGACTGAAACACACGATAAGGTAAGCAAGTCAATATGGAATAATATATTTCACTGCAACAAATTTGATTTTAAATTTATTAAGTGAATTGTTGAAAACTTAAAGAAATAACGAATAAGTTAAATATAACAAAGGTGATTTAACAAAGCATTTCCATCCCAACAAATAGCAAAAAAAAAACCGGACGATACAACAACATATAAATACACTCAAGAAGTCATCAACTAAAACAAAAAGCTATAAACCTGATGGCCACCACGAAATGCATGATAGAAGCATGACACGTAAGTCATGACCGATTTCTCATCTGGTTTTTGACTGTAGACGAGATCTGAAGACTTTTTTATCCACGCCATGAACCTCTTTCAACTAATTTTTGTCTCAACAAATAAGATCGAAATTTTGACTAACATCAAATAAATAAAATAAAATACATTATCAAGTTCTTTTACAATTAAATGAAGAAAAAGTTAACCTTCAGGATCGAGCATCCTTGGGATGTCCAAATATTTTTCGGCTATATCAAAAGCGAGATTTAAATTATGAAGCGGGTCGCCTTTATGTAATTTCGAATAATCAATCAATTCTGGACGATGGCGATGGATTAAAGCACAAAATGCCAAACCATCTTTCCAACTAAAAATTTTATCATTATTAAAACAAATGAACTATAACGCAAAAAAAAGCATGCAATTTTATTTAAGTATAAAGGAAAATTAATCACACAGCAACTTTTGGTAAAAGATTTTTCGAGAAAAAAAATTTCTCGCCTGGTATGGAAATTTTGCACGTTAACATTATTGTAAGGCGCTGTTTTCCTTTGACACCACAACAATAATCCATCACGAGCCGATAATTCTAAAATGAATAAATTTAATATCAATCTTTTTAATATTTCTTTTTTTTGCAATGGAAATAAAAAAATACAACGATTTTAATAGTTTATACATAAATTGTTACTCGAAGAATGACAGCATAGATTTATTCTTTTGGTTGAATTAAAGTTCATTAACATTGCAAAATTTATTTTGCTAAAAGAATAATTCGTTGGCTCATTTGCATTAGCACAAGATAATCTTTACATTTTAATTATTCTAAATTAATATATGACAATGTTAGCATTTCTGAAAAATCTTATTGCAAATTAGATTTTTTTTATAATTATTATTTTATTAATATGTAGCATAAAAATTAACCTTCAACATTGATATCCTGAATTGCAAATCGAAGAATAATTGTCCAGATAAGACCGAGGGTCATTTTCACATTGCCATCAACAATTTCTAGAAATTTTTAGAAGCCTGTAGATAAAAGAAAAAGGAGCACAAATAGATTTGGCATTTACAGGTGTACCTGTAAATAGCTTAAAATGAAAGTGATAGCTTTCTGCTCATTACGTTGTTGAAAACTAAAAATTAATACGATCAAATATATCTTTCAACTAATTTTACCGTAGCTTTTATTATCTTTAAAATATAAGATAGCAATCATAATTACAACTTCTATAATAAATCCATCTATTCATGATAAAATGATAATGAGGAAGCAAGAAAAGAAAAAAGATAAAATCTTGCGATGAGGTGTTAAAAGATCTGATAATTACCTTCCGCACCAATTGAAACCAATTTAACTCCTTTGCTTTCGATGTATTCTAAAGCTTTATTGACATTTGCAATCTTATGAAAGCGCATTTTTCCACGATCAGGTCGTGGCAGTGCTTCACCTGATATCACTTCCAATAATAGCATCAACTTCAAACCTAAATTATTTGATAAAATTAATCTGTTCAATTTGAAGAATTTTTTTACAAGCAACAACAACAACAAAATTTTAAAAATAACTTCATCGCATGATTTATCTGCGAAAAAAAAACTTGAATAATGCAAAATTTTATTTTTGCATTTAAATTATTTGAAATTCTATAGATTTTAAAATACCATTTCTGAAGTCTTCGTCGATAACTTCGATGCTTGTACCAGCTTTTCTCAAATGGCTATTACACCATGCTGTGAATGTCTGCAAATCAATAAATTACTAAAAACGTCACAAATATATTTCTACTATAATTTAAAATATTGATAACAGAAATACGAATTATAATAATGAACTTTTGAATAGTTTGAATTATATTAGTGCTAAATGTAAGTAATCATTAAAATGTTTAAATTCAAACTTTAAAAAAAACTGATATTTTCACCTTTTTTTGTTGCTTTTCCCAAGCTGGATCCAACAATCCTTCACGGTCCCATTCCTCTTCCTGTTGTGTGTAATCATAGCCAGGCTGTTGCTGATAATTATAATTGTTTGGAGGTAATTGTTGATAATATTCCACCATTTTTATCCCCAACTTAAACCTTCACTCTATTCCCTTTAAATAACAACAATAATTGCATATGGCATCCTTTTTATGAATAATTAATTAGTGAACGGAATAGTTTAAATTTATTAAAAATAGAATAATAAATATAGAAATATTTGTTATTTCTCGATTTTTTACTAACAAATAATCAATGATTATTTTTTAACAAAAAATAATAAATATTTCTACACAATCGAGAAATAATAAACATTATTGATTAAGAAATAAAAATAAAGCGGTCAATAAGTGGTCAATGAATAAGGCATGTGATATGGGTGATACAATTAATTGACCCGTATTTAACTTATCTGTGGAATTTATATTTTATAATTGTATTGGTTTATATTAATAATTGTGGTAACATTACAATGATGCAAAGGAGAAGGTCAGCATCAAAGATAGATTATTAACATTTAAATGAAAAGGACAAAGGATGAGAAGAGGAGTGTAGCATTAAATCAACTTTAACCTAATAAAATTTGATCCCAATCTATCACTTTATTCTTTCAAACTAGCTTAACATTCATTACTATTATCATTTATTTTTATT